GGCGGCGGCGGCGGCGCCCGGCCGCGGGGCTCTGCGGGGTCTCCCCCGATCTCCGCGTTTACACCACCAGCCCCGACACCGCGACTCTCCCAGCGAGAAAGAGGTCGTTTGAAAAGTAGATCGGGATTAAAAAAGCACATGCGGTTGACTGTCCGGTAGGGGAAAGAAATACAAGGAAAATTCACCCCTGAACTGTCTTTTCCCCGCCTGGCTGGTACTTAGACACCCTCACCCTAAGCACCGTGTACTTAGACACCAAGCCGAGCCCACCCCGAGCAAGAGAGAGAGATTAGAAATATCCTTGAAAATTATTCCTTCAATTTCCTCCCTCTCTCCTTCCCTCCCTCCCTCGCTCTCTCTCCCCTTACATTGCTTCAAATGAATCTATTTCAAGTAAACATGCAGAATCGTATTCCTAAATTGAAACTTAAACGTTATGATGTAGGAGTGAATATTATAAGGAAAGTTGGGAGGTTTTTTTTTTTTTATTGCCATGAAATTATACCTGCTTGTTTTAATATCCCGAAAACAAATGGCCTTTATTATCCATTACCTGTTCCATAAACCTGGAGTAGAAATGACTGTTCTATAGAGATAAGTATAGTAATTACAAGGGCGAAAAGATGGATCACCCAAGTTACAACTAAACGGTAGCCCTTATATAGTGATATTTTATAAATACCAAGCAAATTCATGGCAATTAATTAAACCCGAGCCTTATCACGCAAAACAAAACGCTTTACGTTCTCTTGAATTTCACCTACTCTATGAATATATCCTCACCGGGAAAGTAAATGGATTTTCCAGAATGCCTTTCCCATGGCTCTAATATTCTCTCTTCCTCTTCCAAGAAAAATGACCCTTGTTATAACTATTTAGTCACTGAAAATATTTGAAAGCCGAGAGGGGGAAAAAAGCGCAAATTTGGTAGTTTTTTTTCTTAGAGGACTTTGCCTTGCTTCGACTGTTTGCTTAAGAAGCTATTGAAAAGATCTTCCCTAGTCCCAGTGCAAATAATATTTAGAGTTTGGAGGGTTCAAAGTCTGGCAGTGTAGAAATAACTTGGAAATGCCAAGGGAAATATTTATTATATCAGTTCATTAAACTGTTGCAATGACCAGAGTGGAGTCACATTTCAAGCAAGAAATATAAAACATCTCATTCAAATTCCGATGGAAAGCGTGCTGCAAAACAAAATTAGCTACTTTAACCGGACCGAGTGACGAAATGGGCACTCGAAAGCGCCTTTAAATATCTGCATTGAATATTTAAAAACCATCAGTCCATTGATGTTGTCTATTACATTATTGCAAGTTTCATATGATTAAGGTATAAATGCAGACGGTAAATCATGGATGCTATTTCTTGTATTTTTTTAATTAGTATTTACACTCATACTGAATAAGGATTACAAAAATATTTGAAGCTTTGGACTTCTGAGCCGGGGGAGAGAGAGACAGGCACCTCTCCAAGTGTTTTGGAAGTGTTTCCAAGTAAAGATGTTAGAACACATTTTCACCAACCGTGTCAGGCTTTTTTTTTTCGGTATAATTTAAACCCAATCCAAACAAAATTGACGCTGGAATGAAAATTATTTTTTAACTGCTTACGTTAATATCCTATAGGGACCTCCGTGTAATTGGATTTAATAAATGCATTCCCCCTTATATTCTCTTAATTTGACTCCAAATAGCGTTTCAGGGGTTATCTTAGAAAAATATTAAGAAATCGCTACGCACTTCCTCACGAGAGACCCAAATCAATCTACCTTATTTTCTACCTCCAGCGCCTCCAGCGCTCCCCTTGTCCTCCCCGCCTCTGGGTCGCGGCTGCAGGTCGGTCCTACCTCGCTATCCTATTCCCCATCTCTGCCCATGAGCAGAGACTCTTCCTCCCACCTCACCCCCCTCCCCGCTTTCTCCCCCTTTTTTTTTTTTTCACACTGACATCAGTCTATCAGGGTTATACACAAGACTGAGTCACGCACAGCGTAAACTTTTGACCCTCAACTTTTTGACCCCTCGAGCTATAATGCTGTACTAACAAGCCCCCCAAGACCAGAGTTACCTTCTACGGCTGTTGAAACTAATGCTGTACTCATTTCACTATTTTATGTATTTTACTTTAAAAAAAATCTTCACGACTTTTTTTTTTTCCTCTCGCGGGGGAGGGGGGAAAAGGATAAAAAAAACTTACAATCTCAGCCCTTTGCAAACATTAGATGCTTAGCTCCAGATCACCCAGCACTGCCCTAGATGGCTGGATTTTTTCCCCCTTGCCCCCACTCCGGGGTTAACTCTGTATATTTAGAAGAACACGAGAGGGGGGAAAAAAACTTAAACCACAGCTGGATTCATCTGACTTTGAATTTATACTCTTTTATTTGCCTAATGGGAGTTCACATAGGTGAGTTGGTGACGGCAGTAATTAGCCTGTTGTGAATTTTCGGGGGAGGGGAAAGGGGGAGGGATGTCTTTTTGATTATTTTGATTTTATTACGACTATTTTGGGAGCGCTGGAGGGCTCGGTGGCGAGCAGCGGCCGGGGTTGTCCGAGGGGAGCCGGAGGGAAGCGGGTGGCGTTTTTACAGGCGAGGCGATTGCACTAAATCCCCCTTCCCAGGCTTCGTCTTCCCCCCCTGCTCCATTTCAGTCCTAAACTTCCAAAATCCCCACCCCAGCCCAGCCCAGGCCCCGCTTTTGCAATTTCTCCCTGCATAAACAGATACGTGATTTGCCACTAAGCAAATGTCCTTTAAAAAATCCTAACGCTGTAATTTGTTTTGACTTGAAGGTTAGATATATATATATACACACACACACACGCACACACACATGTTAAAAAGAGATAAATCAAAAGGAAAAAACTCATACTAGTCTTATTCTTTCAACGCTTGCTGTTAAAATAGTTTCTTTTTAAAGCTATTTAGGGTAACAGAACATGGAAAAACTACACAGGGTGGGCACCTCTCTCGTAAAGTTATCGAACAGCATTTATTTAAACATTAGGAGAGAAAAGATGGGGAAGAATCAGCTCCGATACCTAAATAGCCACAGCTTGAAAGAAAATTTCATTCTTAAGTCCATTCTAGGACTGGAAAGAGACCCCCGGAGGAGGAGTCCATCCCCCTGAAGGTCCTCTTCGGTTCCCAATTCGGGTTCCCTAATTGCAGTGGGACCTTTATCAAGAGGATTCTAACTAATTCCTCAAACTCCTTCCCTTCAGATCGGACGTGTAATTAAAAAAAAAAAAGAGAGAGAGAGAGAGAGAGAGAGAGAGAGAGAGGCTGGGGCTGGGAGAAAGAAGAAGCAATTTCTCAGGCTGAAATTCAGCTGTGGGGGAGGGAAGGGGGCTTGGGGAGCGGACCTGCAGGGAAAGGGGCTGGTTTCCTGCGAGCGCTTTCCCTTCTTGTGGCCTTCACTGTGTGTGTGTGGAGGCTGGAGAAATTTACAGGACTATTGCAAATAAATATTTTAATAATAATGTTCTTTCCTTAAATAGAATGAAATAAAAGGATTACAGACCGAGCAGTGCAGTATCTGGTCTCTGCCGCCAGCCCATCCCCACAAAGGCAGATAAGAACCCACAACCTCCCAACCTTCATTTTTGTGGTTAAAAAAAAAAAAAGAAAAAAGAGAGAGATTCCTTTAGTTTCTCAAAAGCATAATTGCCACATTGTTGTTGTGTGTCTGTATTGCAGCAATATGAACCACATCCAGTCCTTCTCCAAACCTCCCCCTCTCTTGCTGAGAGTCACCACCTAACCCAGGCAGTGGTGACTTGGTAAATTAAAAAAAAAAAAAGAGAGAAAGGAAGAAAGAAAAGAAAAAAAATGAGTTTATGTTTTCCTTTAAAAGGTGACCCGGCAGACCCCAGGGTCCGCGTGAGATAGAAGTGTTGTGTTGTGATACGATGCTCACCCTCTCCTCCGAGAGAGGAACCAGGGCTGTACAAGTCTGCTGACCTCGGAATGATCCCTCTTGCCTATGAATTATTGATGAGATATGAGCTCTGATTTCTCTTTTCAGTATGCAAACCCCATTATACTGTTAAAATGGCGATTTAATCGTTTAGAATAGCTTCGCTTTTTTTCCAACTCATTTGTGCCCCTTCCTTTTCATTTAATTCTCTTAATTAAATCCTTTAACAGATTTTAATCACTTTTTGTTGAATAAAATAAGACATCATACACATCTGTAACTAGGTTACCTTGGTGAAGTTTGGTTTTGGTGGGATTTCTTTGTTTTGTTTTTGTTTTTAATTCGGTCAGCTCCGTTTCTTGGTTGAAATTTTGAAGGCTGGGTGGAATAAAATTTTACTTTGTGTTACACCATACCAAGAGAGCACAGAAAGGCTGTAAAAAACGCTTTAAAAATCCTTAGCGTGGAGTTCACTTGCTAAATAAGAAATAAAAATAAATAAAGCCAAGACATTCAGGATGACCTGACAACGGCACTGCAATATTGAGCTCTCCTTTGCAGCGAAGCACTCCCCAAACCCCTCTGTTCCTCTGACAAATGCATTTCCCCCCATTTATCGCTGAACCAGTCTGGGAGGCAAACGGTTAGAGGGTTGTTTTAAGGGTGAAATTTCCTCTTTCTCGCCAGAGCAGCCTGGGTACGAGGGCATCTCGCCTTGCCCTGGCCAGGGGCCGGAGGACACCGCACAGCCTGGCCATGTCCCCAAAGCCAGCTCTGCACCGTGCCCGGGGAGAGACCTTTAATTAATACAGATGTTCCCCTCGACCCCTTCGGTCTGGGGAGACGGGCTAGGTCTTGGATGAGAAATATCGGCTTTTGTTTTGTTCTGTTTTGTTTTTCATTTTTTCCCCAAAGAGCCAGAAAGGATTAGGCAATGTTTACTAAACGAAATAGGAAACCTCCAGGGATGGAGAAAAGTTAAAACGACATGGGGGGGGAGGGGGGGAAGGCAAGCAAGGACAGGAGTGAGCCCAAATTGTTAATAAGTGAGAGGTGTCCCAGGTGGGTTAGGGGAGGCTCCTCCAGGCTTTGGCAGACTCTACACACTTGGGGCAAACAGCCCCTGATACACCCGGGCCGCCAGTGGACTCAGTTCTGAAGAGTTCCTAAAGGAGTGTTTTACCCCATAAGTACCCAGAGTAGTAGAATAAATATGTGCATAATTGCAGGCTTAAAAAAAGAGACCTTGCTTTCTTTTCAAAGCAGTAATCATGTACAAGAGATTCTCCATATTTTGTACACCCGATATTTAAAGATTTCATATTTATTCTATCTTCCAGAGCTGCAGAAGAACTAATTGTTCCATGTCTGATGTATGTCACTAAAGTGGAGAAACCATGAAAAATGAAAAGGAAAATCCCCGCCTACCTGCACGGTCAGAGCTCCGTTTTCCTGTTTACTCTCCTTATACTTCCTCTCCTTCAGCAACAGGGAGATTTTTTTTTTCTTTAGAGGATGGGGGGAAGCCTGTTCTAAGCCTGTGACCCCTTCCATGCTGTAAAACGGTAGCCAATTATACCTCCACACGCCTCACAGGAAGCTGGAGATTAACACCATGCAGAAAAAAAGACCCTAGACCCACGAAACCTAGCTTGTAAAAACGTGCTACATGATGCAGGTAGAAAGTAGATCGCAGGGACAGAGAGGGTAGGGTGCCATGTGAGCGATGGGAAAGAGATGGGGAATGATATTATCATGTCAGGAATAAAATCCAAGTCCTGCTCCTCCGGCTTAACAAAGGCCCGTTGCCCTGCCGGCCCCCTGCCTGCGCCGAGGCTGCTAAAATAAAGGGACGGCACAGGAGAGATGTCCGCGTTACCTGTTGTAAACCACATGGGCATCCTCTCATTGCGTGTACTGTAGCAAAGCTGCTTGCTCTGGCTACCTCGGGCTGCCTTTTCCCTTGCAATTACATGTTACACATGCCAAGCCATTAGAAACGGTGGTACTTAAAAATATATATCCTTGTGCCTTGTGCCCTCGGGCTTGATTTTGAAGCACGATTGGCCTGGGACAGTGTAAACGACGAATACGTTTGAAGGAGGATGTGCGAATTCGACAGTGATGTGGATGATGGAGAGGGGAAGAGGTGGGTGGATGGATAGATACATGGATAGATAGATGGATGAATTAATATGCTTCTGAAACAGTGTTTGTGCATCAAAGGTATGGTTACATTTTCGGGTATATATGGGGGGAGAGGCATTACTTTTCTTGCCTAACTTGCTAATTATGATATGAACCAGTCAACATTACTTCTTGTGGCCAGTACAGAGCAGAAGGCTAAAGAATTAGCAGGCCCGTCACTTGGTCTAATCCCAGCATGATAACACACCTCTTCCCACTTCCCACTTCCTCTGAGCGTTTCTAATGCTCGGTAAACAAAATGTCTGTAACCTGTCTTGTTTGCAGCGCTAAATTCACATTTTAAGATTTTAAGACCTTTCCTTTCTAATGCCTTTAGGATCCCATAAAATATCTTTATTATCCACTGAAAAGCACTCATCCAGCTTGGACAGGCATTAGGGAGAGTCTGTCCGGCATAAAACCTCTCCATTGAGCACGAGAGGCTCCCTGCACCCCACTTCCCTTCCCTGGACTTCAGTATTTTACATTTGTGCTCGCACGTTTGCAGAGCAGGGATTTTCAGGCAGACTCTCAGCCTGTCATTCACGAGCGCTCCTTTGCCCTGTCCACCCTCTAGCTGGGCAGGGGTGAGCTGCAAGTTCACATGATGATAGCAAAGATATTAGGAGACACATGGAGAAGGACAGGAAAAACAGCCCGAGGAAGGAAAAGCAATCGCCACAGTGTGCAAAAGGGGGACATTCTGCTTTGTATAGAAGAGACGGACATGTGTCCACCAAATGTTGTCTTACCGTAAAAATCCCAGCTAAGGAGGAAAAAAGGAGCTTGTGCCTGCTCCAAAGTCTAGCAACCCCCCATCCCTCCCCTCCCGAGTGCATCCGCTTTGAACTTTTTTTTTTTCTCTCTTAAGGGAAAGGACGGGGGTGAGGGGGAGAATAGATGTGAGTTGGTTCAGGTGTTGCGAAGCGTCCCCCCACCTCTTCTGCAGATGTGGGGACTTGGGTTTCAAAAAGAAAAACCCTCCGGATTTCTGCCCTTTTCGCTCCGAGCCCGAGCGCAGCCGGAATCTGGCGGCCGGGGCTGCGCGCCGCGGGGGGCACCTGCCCCGGCGGGGCCCACCTGGGAGCCGGGCAGAGCAGCCGGGTTACGGCACTTCGCCTCCTGCACCCACCCTCCGAGCCAGGGCACACTCTGCCCTTCTGCCTCCTGCCCTTCCCCGCTAGCTTGTTTGTTTTTCCAATGAAAAAGGCTGCTGCCTGACTTTCTAGCACACGGTGCCACTCTTACAAAAGGAGACGCAAGCCAGTGAGAATGCGTAGGTTTCAAAAACGTTTAGAGGGTCCCTATGCAAACCGCAGTCTCCCTGATTATTTTTGGGATCACTTCAAGACAGGCTGGAGACATAACAGCGGTCATTCAGTGTCTCCATATGGGAGAAATGAACTGCGGAAATATGAGGACACTGCTTCATCTTATTGGAAAAAACAAAATCCGTGGGGGAAAAAAAAAGCCCCGGGGCAAAAAATGGTCTCTACTCAGGCCAAAAGAAAAGCAAAAGTGCACAAATTTCCTTGGCAAGCAAGTGAAAATAATTAAAATCAAAAGGTGTTAACAACCTGAAGAACGCAGACAGAATATAGCTAATTGAAATGCAAAGGCGTGGGCCAGATTTGTGGCTATTTGCGAGCAGCATAAAACACACCAAATCACCTCCAGTAAACAAGCAAGATCCTTTTTATGGCGAAGGACAAAAACAAACTTTGTCTGAAGTACGTATGTTCCCCGGCAAAGACAGGACGGAGTTCGCCTTGCCATTATAATGAATCTTTACAGATAAGCTATTCCACCCGGTTCCACAAAGTTTACTTGCGGGCCTCAAAGCTGTGGTGGAAATCTAATGAAATTCCAGCTCTCGGGAGGATAAGAATTAGGACCTTCTAAACGTGAGAAATACAGCTCTGAAAGAGAGACGGACCCTCTTTCCTCCCCGCTCAGCCGTTAGCCATATAAACCCTTTAAAATACTTTAAGTAGATAATATTTCAGAATAACTTACTTTCAGGACTCCAGTCTATTGGTTCTCTGGACTGAAAACTGGACCCGCAAAACATGTTCCCTGCAATTGCAACGTTTATCTCATCTGGAAAAGTGCTCACCCATTGCTGCCCCTTACAAGCCAAACCAAGCAGTTAAAGTGTCACTTAACATTCTAGAGAATGTGAAATATATTGTACATTGTCAACTCCCCAAAACCATAAAACTAACTTTATGGACCTCACGTGACTTTTGAGAGCCAGTGAGGGGTATCTGTCTGAGGTCTGGGCGATTTTTACGATCTAACTTCTAGATAAAACCCTATCCATTTGACATCTAAATGTCATACCCACTTTTGGTATAGTTTGCTATTGGTAAAAAAAAAATATCAAGGGAAGGCGAGCAAATGGTTTGGGATCTGACAGTCCACTTCACATTCCTCTCAAAATCACTTAAGAAGTACCTAAACAGTGGGAGATTAAGTTTGGTAAGTTTTAAGATCCAACTTTACTTGATACGAACAAAAAGCCTAAGTTATGTTGTAAAGATGTCAGTGGCGTTTTGCCAAATAGAGCGACTTTAAACTGGAGTATCTCGTGCCTTGTTAGAATCCCTAGGTATCAAAATTGCAACATTTGCCATCTTTGATGATGTTAAATTATCTGCAGCGAAAATGACTCGTTGTAGTGAGTATCAGTAGTTACAGAGCTGTAATCTGCTATTTACATGTTGAGCCAGAGAATAGGATGTGAAATCAGTAAGCACCATAAAATAAAGACGAGAGATGGAGGAGAGATTGCAGTTTAGCACAGGAATATATTTTTATATATATACATATTATAGATATATTATAGATATAGATATACACACATAATTATATGTAACACAGCTGTATGTATACAAATATAGAGATATGTATAAATACCTCCTGCTTTTAAAATGTGTGTGTGTATATCTATCTATATATATGACAATTCCTGAAATGCACGTAAATATACTTGGGAAGCATTTATACCATGCTATTGTAACTTAACGTACTTTCAAACAGTTTGTCTTATATGATTTGGGGGTCTGTGTTATTTGTAGGAAACAGCTTTTGGGGAATGGGAGCATTTGTGTTGCCCGCGCGGAGCGCTCGCTGCGCGGTGCCGTGGTGTTATTTGGAGGGAGCCGCTTGCTCTGCTGCTCCGCAGAGCGCCCCACGAGCTGCCCCGCGGCGGGGAGGGCGCGCAGGCTCCGCGGATCCGAGCGCAGGCTTAGCTCCATGCCAGGCTCGGTCTTCGGCTTTAGCGTGTACTGCGGACTCCTTGTGCAAGCCTCAGAGGTTGTGTATAAAGTGCAACTGGGAGCCTTTGTGAATAGGAGAAACGTTTATTTGACTTCAAGTAAAGCTACAAACAAATACAAAAAGCTTATTGGCAAAGTACTACCAGGCAGCTAGACATGACAGATGCCATTTTTACACATAACATTGCATTCACTCTGCCCACTACAAACTGTCTATTAGTCACATCAGAAATATTTCTAGTATTTACAAACATTAGAGCACTCTATTGTTGGTCCAATTTTATACATTTTGTTAATAGTGAAGTTTACCCACGTCTAAAGAGTACGTCTCAGAATTAGCCTGGGACTAGAAATCCTGGCCTGAAGTTTGAACTAAAACACAGACTGGACAATTTTAAGACAGAAAGATACAAGAGCTTTTTCTTTTTTTTCTTCTTTTTTTTTTTATAAATTTTTGTTTGTTTTTTATTATTTTTTTTCTGCCACTGTAGTGCAGGAACCCCCGATTTTAGCTTAGGCAGAGAAGAACTCACCCAAAAGCAGTAAACTCAGGAAGGGGAAAAAAACCAACAAATAAACAAACAACCGTATCTGTTATCAATTTATAAATAAGTTATAACATTTAAAGGGCTCACATAAAACATGCTAGCTTTCCAGAAAGCATCAAGAGAGCACGGACACAGACATTTATAAGAACAACAAGAGCATGAGGAGCATCTGGAAATTAAAATTTAATTAAAAAAATAATAATAAAAAAAACACGACATGAACTCAGTCCTGGGATAACGGTACCATACGCGTTGTTTTAGAATATCAACAACATGCCGAAAAGAAGGTGCCTCACTGTACAGTACTCTGAAACTAAGATCTGCTGCGCTTTATTTATTTATTTACGTATTTATTTATTGTTTCCTCTTCTTTCCTCGATATTCCTCCTCTATAATTTATGGCTGAAAGGCGCTGCCCG